TGAAGACAAATAGGCCAGTATGAAACCTGTGCAAGGCAAACAAAAACTCCATCTTCACATCAGAAAGCAGAGTCTAATTGGGGTGGCGGTATCAATAGAAATCTACTGAAGTTTACACGACTAAGTCGGATGATTTCTTATTTTTGTGTCTTTAGGTTAGGCTATGATTTGTCTTGCTGGCTTAATGCCAATATGGTTCTGTTCACACCAGCTGAGAACGTCATTAATGACTCCCTGTATTCCAGTTAGTTTCCCTTTGACCCCCGACCCACAATGGCGGTGTCGTCAGAGAACTTCTGGAGATGGTAAGTGTCTGTGTTATAACCGAAGTCCGCAGTGAAGAGAAATGGGGCAAGTACTGTTCCTTGTGGGACCCCTGTGTAACAGACTACCACCTCAGACACGCAGTCCCACATACTGGGGTCTACTAGTAAGGTAGTTAACAATCCATGTGGACAACAGATGGTCCACTCTCACTCCCTGCAGCTTCCCACTTAGCACTGCGGGCTGGATTGTGTTGAAGGCACTGGAGAAATCAAAAACATGAACTGGTGCTATCTATTAGCCCAAACCTGATCTCCAGACTCTGGGCCTTCTCTGCTCGCTGTACTCCATCTGGTGATTGTATTCAGTCCTCTGCACACTGTAGCAGAACCAGTGCTGCAGGTGAATGGAATGTACCCATTTTACCTGATGGTCACAGAAATGTGGGGAAAGAACATAAGAGACTGTCTAGCTTATATTACACGTCACCTTAACAGAAAGCCAAAAATTAATAACTCTGTTCAATATTATCGTGTGTGTGCGTTACCATTTCAGTTTGAGAGCCACGGGTGCTGATAGAGTTGCTTCAGAGTGGGACGTTGCTCAGGAACTTTATTTAGACAAGTTCTCAAGAAATGACGGCAATCTGAGGAGCAACCAAAGGAAATGTGGTGAGATCTACAGTGATTTAAGAAGGTGAACTACACCAGACCTGTGCTGACAGTTCATCATGCAAGAGTGTGCTTCTTACTTTTTGAGAGCCTGTTGCTGATCTTTAGTTTGTGCCTGATAAACTCTTGGGTCTCAAACTGTTTTCTGTGGAGGCTTTCATAAAGTAGCACTCCCAGCTGCTACACTGTTGTAGGACCAGCACTGTAGCTGCAATAGCTGTACCACTCAGGAGGAGCGTGAGCAACTGTGCCTGCAAAATACAGGAATGAGACCTCATTAAGAAAAGGATTAAAGCAAATGGGTAAACTGGTAAACAAATAGGTAGGCTGAAGCAGGACAACGTACCATAGAACACTTTGAAAGAGTCTTCCTGCACAAAACAGCTAAGGCCAAAGTCAATCAGCCAAACACGTGGAACATCTGAGCCAGTCTCTATTAGAACATTTTCCACCTTAATATCACGGTGAAAGATGTTCTTGTCCTCAAACGCCAATGCTCCAGCGACCAGCTGTTTCAGTATGATCTGAAAGAGGCAAATAAACATGCTGTGTGAGAATTGGGGGTTTTCTATGCATTGCTAGTTCAAAGTGCCATACTGCCATCCCCACAAGGCAGTCCTATTACTGTAATTACTTGTATAAAGATGGCATTTACATGACCAAAATGAAAACTGCAGGACATGTTGCCAATTCCACACTTTGTTTAGGTGCTCAGGAGGTGAATAAATTTAATTCTCCTCCTCAGCATAGCTGAATTATAGGTAAATTTTGTCTGAGGCCTTCAAATGTAGAAATGGTGAAAGGTTACAGGCAATTTAGTATCAGCAATAGAAATGTTTAATACACACTTATAAAGACCCCCAATCATCTTACCTTGGCCACGCCCTCCTTTACACAACCTCCATTGACTTCAATGAACTGAAGGAGGTCCTGTGCAGGGATTGGTTGCTCAAGCACCAGAATTTGCTCCTCCTGTAGATTGTACCAATCCAGCAAGGACACAGATGTCGAGTTCAGCAGCTGTCCAGTTTTTCCATCCTGGAGTTTCAACATAATGGCCACCTCCACTGAAAGACACTTCCCATCCTCAGCCTGCATCACCACCAAATCAAAAGATTTGAGCATTACAGAAACTCAAACTCATAAATAAACATCAGTTATTTCAGTGATGGATCAGAGTAGTAACTGGTGTTGCTCACTTGCCTTGTTTTCCCAAAAAATCTTGTTTTTTGGAATGTGTTTTATGGCCACCTACAAGAAACAAACAGGATTTTGGTTAGCGCTTCAGGATGATATAGTTTGCATTCTGTTCATGGAAAAACATGTAACGATCCTTACCGGTAAATTGTCTGCTTTATGATAGCCAGCAAACACTGATCCAAACCCTCCTTCACCAAGTTGATGCTCCTGGATGTATCTGGCTTCAAATTCAGCTGAACAGACACAATCAAGAACCAATTTGGTTTCATAACGTGTGAGAAAGGACTATGGTAATATGGTACCAGTGTTACCTGAACTCTAACACAAGGGAATATCTAAGATTAAGTATTTAATGAGTGTTAAATTAAGCACACAATGTGGTTTGAGGGATTCAGAATTTCAAGCATACCTCTGCCAGTGTTCACAGAGGATGAAGTTGGATCATTCTCCTTGTAGTCCAAAGGCCCCTCGCCAACTCCCCTGCTTGTCACAGACTCTGACAGCCTTGTCCTTTTGCTGAAGGCCTGTTCAGAACTGGCCTTCCTTTTGGTTGCCTTGCAGAGCTTGGCTGATGTGTTCTGTGGTGCCATTGTGCTGTTTGTTGAAAGAAAGGCAGACTACAGATGACCCTGAATTTATAGTGACCTGTAGCCATTGTCTGCATTGCTAGCAACTACTCAGCCTACCTGATTAGTCAGGTGGCTCATTAGCATGAGTGATTACAGGGCTCTGTTCACATTTACCGTAATCCTTTTCAGGGAATTGGAGCAGGGTGAGGCTTTTATGCAATGCCTTTTGATCATGATGATTGAATTTAAAAGTTTCAGGTTGGTTTCTTTTAATGTCTTTTTAGGTTGCCTGACTGACTATTGTAATGTCTTCAGGCTCTATGTAGTGATAACTGTTTTTAATTATCTATTGGTAATTTTTAAATTCCAATGGTTGATTTTAGTTTCCACTATGTATTACATCATTTTATTCCAAATAGATTACAATATTAACGAGTGACTTTAAGTAGTTTAAGCCACTGCAAAAGTCTTGGATGAGAGGTGAAACATCTTTGAGCAACTTAAAGTCCAGACGCTTTTCTTTCCAAGCTTCTTAAACAATATATTAAAGATTTATCACAATGTAATATTCAAGTATTATCTTCATTTTAATGACTTTTTAAAACTCTCTTGAGTGTAAGACTCAGCTTTGAGTTCCATGTTTTTAAACAATCAGTTGGAGGCTTAACGTACACATGAATAATTGATGTAGATGGCCATTATACAGATGATTAGAACACAAAGGTGTGAATAGGTGAACTTAAACTGCTCAAAGATAATGACATTGTGACTCTAAGTGGTTTAAGCCACTGCAAAAGTAAAAAGATTTCTCCTTGGGCCCACCAATGTAATCAGTATGCTATATTGCAACTGTTAAAGCACAATGAGGGGGGGAAAAAGAGAATACAAGATAATGAAAGAAAACACAAAGCAATGAAACTAATGATCATACAATTACCCACCCTTTGTCACAGCTTCAGCAACAGATGTGTGGAGTTACAAGAGAAGGATCCAAGTGCTGGCACTGGCTTTACTGCGAGTTAACTTTTATTTTCAAATGGTGACAATTCAAACAGAAGTGGAAATGGCAAGGACAGAAACTTAGAAAAACCTAAATTGGGAAAGCTAGCTAAACAAACCTGCAGCTAGAACACGATGACTCAAAGAATTATACACAGGTGGACCAGCAACAAGCAGAGGGGGGGAAAGGGCTTAAATACACAGGTGGTAACAAGGGAGTGAGAAACAGAAACAACTAATTACACATAACGAGATCAAGGAAGCAAAGCAGAACATGCTGACAAAGGACAGGGATTATCAAAGTAAGACAGGAAACACACAGGCTGAACTCAAGACATGTAAGCTTAACACTTGGGACTGGAGGAATGAAACAGAGACAAGACTCACAAAACACAACACCTGAGTAGACACTTAGGGAGGTAAAAAAAAATAGATCACTAACAGCAAGGAACTAAACAACCTAACATAAACCACTCAGAGAACCTAAACTAAATATTCTTTTAACCCCAAAACACAGTCCAATAGGGACGGAACAGTAGCATAAACACAACAACCAACTGATACAAAACCAAGGAATATCAATCATACACAAACACATGGACACTGGGTCACCCTTTATCTAAAACTTAAACACTCAAGCCAGCAGATGGTGCTGCACTGAACTGAACCGAAAAACCAGTTTATTTGTTCAGGATTTTTAATTTTTATTTATTTATTTTTGAGTAATAAACGCAACTATGGGTTTTCTCAGTGGTTGACATGGTCAAGAAGTGGTTGCCTTCTTGTGGCCATGTCCTGGCCCCCACACAGGTTGTAACACATGACTAATGTGACTATGACTGGAAAAGGAGTTTCAGGGTTTTACACAATGCAGCATTTTCTCATAAAATAGAAAGCACCTCTGTTTATTTATTTACTTCTCTTTTAAACCACTGGTATCTTTCTGTCTAAAAATAGTGTATGTTAGTATGATTGTAGATTATATGTGCATTGTCTTTAAAAGTTTAGATGGAAGCAGATTACAATGGATAAAATTGTCTAGGCTACACATTGGGTGCTTTGTCAGTGATAAATGTTTGGTCCAGGATGCCTAATCTCAATGTTTGTATTTTGTTAATTTATGAACACTGAAATCTCACCACAGTGAAGCATTGTTGATATGAAATTTAGTTTTTCCCAATAAAAATGTAGACCCATCTATAGAGACACACACACACACACACACACGCGCTTTTGTCCTCTTTCTACAGTGGCTTTTGTGAACAACATGTACTCAGTTCCAGCAGAGCCTGAATGAATGACTGTGTCCTCCGTCCAACCCAGAAGCACAAACCATGCTGCTCGTCTGGGAGGAAAACAAAGCTTGAGACCCAAGATGAAGGAAGAGAAGGGTGCTCCATTGAAAAACAAAATAATTTACCAGATTTTTTTGCTTGTGTGTTTTGGTTTCTGCAATTCAGGTATGTTACCTTCTTTTATATGGGTGCTTCAAACTTATTCTCCAGATGAGCAAATACTTGCCTAGTACAAGTCTATATATTCTTAATGTACTGGATTATTAGGATTTGTGCATAAAACAATGTGTAGCAGTACATTTGTCTACATGTACTGCTGAAATTTGCAAATCTTTAGAAAACTGAAATTTGCTTCTTTTTAAATGTCATTTTTCATGTTATTGCATCACCAAGTCATTAAATGAACAGATGCTTCTAGTAGATTTTGCAAATTAACAAACATTTTCAGAATAACTGAATTATAGGGGCAGGTGGAGTTTTTATAATTGCCAGCTGTGACGTGGATGGAAATGGCAACAACAGCTCCAGATACGGTTGCATACTTTGATCTAATTAGATATAGTATTGAGAAATACGGTATGATCACTAGTTTCTGATCATTTTTGCAACATTTTGCCTATTTTAAAGTTTCAATGGTATTACAAAAAGTACGGCTTCAGAGAATATATATTTAAATTTAATTACATGAGGTTCTGGGGGTGTTTTGTGACCATTCTTCTAATTAATAAGGGCTCACAGACTAGAGCCAGTGTTTTCAGCTGTTTTCAGCTGTGGCTGGGTGTCATCACTGTCCTGCCATTGTTGTGGTTAGCAACAGAGTTACTGAGCTGCTCTGTTTCTGCAGAGCTAGCGTGGTGTCTGGATTGCTCCCATTGCTCTTTTCATGAACTGCCAAGAAGGAAATTTCAACAAACAATCCTCACTTTTGTTGGTTCATGCTGGCCCATCCCAAAGTCTAAAAGCCATCACCATGGTAATATAGATCTGTCATGCAAAGGCTTCCAGTATACAACAGTGACGGGGTGCAGTGCCCGCTTTCCCACAATGATAAAGTATTTGGTCTTCATCTAACCACTGTATCACTTCCCAAAGTTAAAATACTGATAAATTATAATATATTTATATAAATTATTTAATTATGCACAAATTCTTCATTGGCAGTAGATTAGTTGGGCCCTTATTCTATTCAGATAGGTATAATATTCAAAAACGGATGGGTGTGTAGTTACTTTTAAATCATTGAAGCTTTCCAATTGTAAACAATACATTCATTATCAACTTTGTCAAGCTGGAAGGTGTATTAAGGGTTTTTATGTCTTAAAAAAAAAGTCACTAGGCTTTCAGGACTGTCCAGTTGCAGCACTTCCTCTTTAAATACTGCTGGTTATATGAATATTACATATTTATAGTTTGCAGAATTTACATTTTTCAGCATAGAGTGTAAAAAGTTAAGATAACTCAGTCTGATTCATAGATATAATATAAACTTATATTTTAAGATTATGCATAGCCTCGCTATTCTTGTGTGTTAATTTTCTACTTACTTTTTCTAGGTTCGTGCATTTGCTTCAGAACATTTCTTATCTCAAGAGTATCATTTTTTTTTTTTTTTAGTTAACATTGAATTGACCCTAATTTATTTATATAGCGCCAAATCACAACAGTTGCCTCAAGGCGCTTTATAGTGTGAGGTAGACCCTACAATAATACATACAGAGAAAAACCCAACAATCATATGACCCCTATTAGCAAGCACTTTGACGACAGTGGGAAGGAAAAACTCCCTTTTAACAGGAAGAAACCTCTGGCAGAACCAGGCTCAGGGAGGGGCGGCCATCTGCTACGACCGGTTGGGGTGAGAGAAGGAAGACAGGATAAAAGACATGCTGTGGAAGACAGAGCCAGAGATTAATATCAGCAGAGAGGTCTATTAACACATAGTGAGTGAAAAAGGTGACTGAAGAGGAAAAACTCAATGCATCATGGGAATCCCCCAGCAGCCTACACCTGCAGCATAACTAAGGGAGGATTCAGGGTCACTTGATCCAGCCCTAACTATATGCTTTACCAAAAAGGAACGTTTTAAGCCTAATCTTGAAAGTAGAGATAGTGTCTGTCTCCCGAATCCAAACTGGAAGCTACTTCCATAGAAGAGGGGCCTGAAAACTGAAGGCTCTGCCTCTCATTCTACTTTTAAATACTCTAGGAACAACAAGTAAGCCTGCAGTGTGAGAGCGAAGTGCTCTAATGGGGTGATATGGTACTACAAGGTCATTAAGATAAGATGGGGCCTGATTATTTAAGACCTTGTATGTGAGGAGCAGGATTTTGAATTCAATTCTGGATTTAACAGGAAGCCATTGAAGGGAAGCCAATACAGGAGAAATATGCTCTCTCTTTCCAGTCCCTGTCAGTGCTCTTGCTGCAGCATTTTAGATTAACTGAAGGCTTTTCAGGGAGTTTTTAGGAAATCCTGATAATAAAGAATTGCAACAGTCCAGCCTAGAAGTAATGCATGAACTAGTTTTTCAGCGTCACTCTGAGACAGGATGTTTCTAATTTTAGAAATGTTGCTCAAATGGAAGAAAGCAGTCCTACATATTTGTTTAATATGTGCATTGAAGGACATATTATGGTCAAATGAATTATGAAGGTTCCTCACAGTGTTACTGGGGGACAAGGTAATGCCATCCAGAGCAAGAATCTGGTACCATATTTCTAAGATTTTCAACTTAAAGCTTCATTATCTTTATTTTAATCAGTAAAATTCAGGAAACTCACGGCAGCAGAAAAATAACTTCAACTATTTTAAAAAGACATTTTAAGTACAAAAACACTAAAAACAATTTTTTTTCTTTTTATGGTACAAATGTAAAGTAGCCACAAAAAATCTTAAACTTTAAATAGAATTTTAATCTTATACAACCAAATCACAAAACAGTCTTGTAGTATTTTATGTTGTAAGGTCAACCTTACATTGCTGTAGATATGAATTCAGGGTCATATAAATAACTCACTGGGAAAAGTTAGGAGGCAACAGTATCTCAACCACCAAGCTAAAGAAGGGCAGCCAAGGGAAGTAAGCAGACAAAAGAATAGCATAAAGAAAGAAGTCTAAAAATTACATGTTGAAGCAAAAACCTTCACTGAAATATTTGAAAAGCATCAAACATTAGAAAGATTCTCACATCTAGTTTTGACTAGAATATCATACCAGTTATGCAACCTCCAGTCTTTATTTGGGAGGAGCCCATTTACAGGTTGCGCTGCTTGCAGTTGCAACAGAGGAAACTACAGGACCAGTTACAGAGGTGTGGCAACAAGCGCAGTCACATAATCTGTTTTGTGATGTTTTACATGATTAGTTGTTGTTCAACTAACTTAAACTGCCGATAATGCTGCCCAGATAAACCTAATCATTCAAAATTTGTTCTCTTAAGAAGATGACCTAAAACTAACAAGAAACTCTTGCAGTCTTTGAAGTGTTTAGAGAATTTAAAGTATTCACTGTTGAGATTGGCTATGAAATAGTGGAGTGGGATGATTTTAAAGTAGCCTACACAACATTTCTGTATTCAGTTACCAGTTTATTAAGTATACTTAGTAGAAAAAAAATATTATTATAAAAAAAGATTTTTCAAGATGAAAAAGTTTTACCTTTTTTCAGAGTTGCTGATTGAGTTCTGATCATCTGGGTGTAGGCGCCTCTAATTAATGGTGGAGAGTGTTGGTGTAGAGCAATGACTGTTTTCTACAGTTATTGGTGTAGAGCTGCATGATGCTATTTTTCATGCCAGTGTAGTTGTTGTAAAGTGCATTAGGAATATTTGATGGAAAAACATTGTTCCCCAAAATCTGGCTCCCCAAAAAGCCAGTCATCTTAAAACTCTGTAAAAGTTAACTGATACTAGAATTTGTTTAAAATGGAAAAGAAACTTCTCATGGACCTTTCTTCTTTGTTTCTGTGCAGGTGGAGTGTTGGCAGTGAATATGACTATCCCAAATACTCTCATTAGAGGTAAATTAGGAGGGGAGGCCCTTCTGTCAGTCCGCTATGATAGTTTCAGCTTAGACCTGCCAGTTATCAAGTGGCTACTTAAAAGGGAAAAATCTGTCACGGTTGTCCAGTCGATTGGAACGGACATCATTGGGACGCTGAGGCCCGAGTACCGGGATCGTATCCTGGTATTTGGGAATGGGACTCTGCTTCTCCACAACCTCAGATTTGCTGATGATGGAACATATGACGTAGAGATCTCCATCACAGATGATACCTTTCCAGGAGAGGGCAGCATCACACTCACTGTGGATGGTAGGAGGACATGTCCATTTGTACAATTCTGTAATGTTTTCAGGTGTAAAAGCACATTTTATTAACCCTTGTCTGCTGTTGCAGAATGCAATACTATCAGTTTTAATATATATAGAGAGATGTGTTTATTGTCTGAACTATAAGTTTAAACCATGATGATTCAAAACACTTACCTAGACTGTAAAAAAGCCATTAGTGAACTGTTCAGCATGAAAATTTGGAGCTAAACCTGCTGAACTATAATTTAACACTCATATTTATCTTTCTTGCCTCCTGCTATGCTGCCTATGAGTCTTTGTGGCTCTTTGTTCATATTGCACACCATTAGTTGCTCTGAGTTCAGGTTTCTGAATCATTGTGTGTTTCAGACGTACTCAAACACTCAGGCGCTTCTGCAAACATTTTATCCCACAATGCAAAAGATTTTATTAAACTGTACTGCACTGTTCACGCTTTGTAATCAGCTTTCTTTCCAGACAGTTTTAAAGTCCTTACACATTCACATGTTTTTCTCTTTGCCTGATTGGGCTACTGTTCAAGTTGTAGGTGGCTGAAAGAATGCTGGGAATCTCATGAAGTCACTCCATGAATTATTTGGCTGTACTGATATGTCGGCTGTTAGCAGACAGGCACACAGATGTAAATCATCTAATTTTTATTAGCATAAATTTATGGAACAATAATTAACTTTAACTTTATTTTTCCTTTACTTTTTAGGCTCTGTTGAGACATTTTGTTGAGACTTTTTCATCGATATTATTTGAGATGAGCATGCAAATGCTCATGCCAGCTCAAACTTTTTCCACAATAGTTTGAGCTGGCATGAGCAGCAAGTGCTGTTTTGCTTGTTGAATTTAAATGGAATGCAAACCACTGGCATAAACAAAATAAATAAATAGTTCCAGAGGCGAGGTCACTGAGGCAGTTAAACAACTTCTTGGTGGCAGAGCCCCTGGTGTTGATGAGGTCCGCCCCGAGTTACTGAAGGCTCTGGACGTTGTAGGGCTGTCCTGGTTGACACGCCTCTACAATGTTGCATGGAGATCAGGGGCAGTACCCCTGGACTGGCAGACCGGGGTGGTGGTCCCCATCTTTAAGAAGGGGGACCGGAGGGTGTGTTTCAACTACAGGGGGATCACGCTCCTCAGCCTCCCTGGGAAAGTCTATGCCAGGGTGCTGGAAAGGAGAGTTCGTCCGCTAGTCGAACCTCGGATACAGGAGGAACAATGCGGTTTTCGTCCTGGAGGGTGCATGGGAGTTTGCCCAACCAGTCTACATGTGTTTTGTGGACTTGGAGAAGGCATTCGACCGTATTCCTCGGGGTGTCCTGTGGGAGGTGCTGCGGGAGTATGGGGTGTCTGGCCCATTGCTATGGGCCATTCGATCCCTATACAACTGTTGCAAGAGCTAGGTTCGCATTGCCGGCAATAAGTCGGACTCGTTCCCGGTGGGTGATGGGCTCCGCCAGGGCTGCCCTTTGTCACAGATTCTGTTCATAATTTCTATGGACAGGATTTCTAGGCGCAGCCAAGTGGCGGAGGGCTTTCACTTTGGTGGCCTCAGAATCTCATCTCTGCTTTTCGCAGATGATGTGGTTCTGTTGGCTTCATCGGGTGAGGGCCTCCAGCTCGCACTGGAATGGTTTGCAGCCGAGTGTGAAGCAGCGGGAATGAGGATTAGCACCTCCAAATCTGAGGCCATGGTTCTCAGCCGGAAAAGGGTGGAGTGCCCACCCTTTTCGGGGATGAGTTCCTGCCCCAAGTGGAGGAGTTAAAGTATCTCGGGGTTTTGTTCGCGAGTGATGAGAGAAGGGAGCCGGAGATCGACAGCCGGATTGGTGCGGCGGCTGCAGTGATGCGGATGCTGCACCAGTCCGTCGTGGTGAAGAGGGAGCTGAGTGTAAAAGCGAAGCTCTCAATTTACCGGTCGATCTACGTCCCTACCCTCACCTATGGCCACGAGCTGTGGGTAGTGACCGAAAGAACAAGATCGCGAATACAAGCGGCGGAAATGAGCTTCCTCCGAACGGTGGCTGGCCTCTCCCTTAGAGATAGGGTGAGAAGTTTGGCCATCCGGGAGGGGCTCAGAGTAGACCAGCTGCTGCTCCACATCGAAAGGAGCCAGCTGAGGTGGTTCGGGCTGACAAGGATGCCTCCTGGGCACCTCCTGGGGTTGGTGTTCCGGGCATGTCCCACCGGGAGGAGGCCCCGGGGAAGACCCAGGACACGCTGGAGAGATTATATCTCTTGGCCGGCCTGGGAATGCCTTGGTGTTCCCCCGGATAAGCTGGAGGAGGTGGCTGGGGAGAGGGAGGTCTGGGCTTCTCTGCTTAGGCTGCTGCCCCTGCGACCCGGCCCCGGATAAAGCGGATGAAGATGGATGGATGGGATGGATAGTTCTAGTCAGGTTTTGGAAAACACTTATATAAACTGATAAAAGACTTAATTTATCTCACAGTAAAAGGTGAAGATAACAGGAATGGAGAGGTCAACCAAACTAAATGAATGCACACCAAACCTTTTATCTGTGTATATAAAACAAATATATAATAGTGAGTATAGGTGTGGCCAGCAGAGACATTCACATCAGCTCAGGTTGAACAGTTTGCAGACAACCTTGAAGAGGCAAGGCTGAGGTGGTTTGAACATGTGCAAAATGAGGGATAGTGGATATATTACACAAAGGATATTAAAGTTACCAGGCAGGAGGCAACTTTAGACCACAAAGAAGATTTGTGCCTTTAGTGGATAGCAAGGGATAGTGTGAAGCTGTGGCGACCCCTAAAGGGACCATGCAAAAGGAGAAGATTAATATATTGTCTGATGTTATGATAGAAGTTATTCCCTGAGAAATTATAAGTAATAGACTGACTTCTTGAAACCAAGCACACCATTGTTTTTCTTGTGACATTACCAATAAGTTTGATGTGTCACATGGCCCTCTTCCTATTGAAAAAAACAAAAGTTGTATCCAAGATGGCCGACTTCTAAATGGCCCCCCTGGTCACCACCCATCTTGAGGAGTTTGCCCCCTCTCATATACTAATGTGCCACAAACAGGACTTTAATATCACCAACCATTCCCATTTTATTACGGTGTATCCATATAAATGGCCCACCCTGTAGAAAAAAAACTAATATTCTTGGCATAATTTATTTCAAAAGTTCCTTCAGTGTTTCTTGCATGTGTAAAGACTACAAGAAAGAAACGACTTCAAAAAAGGACAGAAGCATGTTTATTGTTTTTATCTGCTAACATATCCAGAACTATTGTATCTACTGTCTCTTGTATCCAGAATCTATATCCAGGCCTTATATCAACATGGAGTCTTCATCATTACTGGAGCTTAGCGAAAATGTTGTCCTCAACTGCTCTCATGACAATGGAACCAGGACTACATACAGGTGGTTCAAAGGTGGAAAACTCCTGACCAATGAGACAAGGTTCGTGTTTTCTCCTGATCAGAAGCTTTTGACCATCAAGCGGGTGTTGATGGCAGATGATGATGTCTACAGCTGCACAGTGGAGAATCCGGTGGGAAATATGACAAGTCTGCCAATTAGACTGACTGTATACAGTAAGTAACACTGCCTTAGTTAGTTATTGCAATGTCAACAAGGGTTAAAAACATCATGGTAGACACAGAGACATGGGCAGCAGATTTCAGTTGAATTCAGTTTTATTTTTATAGCCTCAGTTCAAAACAAGTTTCATCTCAAGGCCTGTAAATAATTGCACAATTTAATAAAGGTGGTGATTTTGACTACTAAGTATTGCAGTGCACTGCCTAAAATATTAAATTCAGTAGTATAATTTCAGGTGTTTAGTTTTTGTTCCGTTAACAGTTTAATAGCTCATTTGAAAGACTGGTTCAGGCTGTCCTGAGGGTGACATAACTTATATAACTATGCAGCTGTAAGAACACAGCAGGTCTACATAAAGTAAAGAAAATAGTTCCTTCAGTTGATCAGAGAGGATGCTTTTCTACATTACTAAATTTTCCCTAAATCTTTTGACAGATTTCTCTCAGAAATTACAAATGTCTGCCTTCTGGTAGGGATGGAGGAAAAGTCTGAGGTTTTTGAAAGCCAAAGAAAGGTGTCTTTGAAAGACCTGCATAATGCATTGCGTATCTGCCATTCACAGCAGACACATGAGGCATGGAGCAGGTCGTCAAAGACACAGCTCAGTAAGTAAGTAACATCTCATGACTCAGCTCTCTGGAGGAGCGGGAAAGTAATATAAAAAAACACTACATGAACCACAGTTGGCCACAGTTGACTGTTGTTAAAAGATCAAGTTTAAGCAGGGTTGACAACATATACATTGCTCATCAATGATAATGTGATAGTGATGTGAAAGGCTGGTACAAACAGTACAAAAATAGTGAAAAGCAGACCCAGAAGGTATATGTGTGTCACATGGGCATAAAGAGAAGGAATACTGTGTGTTATACCATTCGCTCTAGTTGCACATTTTGTTTTGTCAGTGCCTGTGTTGTTCATTAATTGTAATCTTGTACATTCTAAACAGAAAGAAGTTCCCTTTATATCATCCTTTCTACTGGAGGCATCTTTCTTTTGATCACCTTGGTGACTATATGTGCCTGCTGGACACCTTCTAAAAAGTAAGACTGGCTATTAAATAATTGAATTCAATGCCAAGTATCACAAAACTGATCAAATATTTTGTCTACACAGACCAAGACAGCCCCCTAGAAAGCACCTCTCCAGGTTTTATAACCGCTCTCACCAAACACCAATCAATCACACAGGTAAAGTATAGCTGTGACGACAGTTATGAAATGTGAAAACGAAGTGTGAATTTGTATTCAAATAATAATAAATTTGAATACTAATTTATTTATTTATTTATTTTACTTCATCACAGATTGTGTGCTTCCAAAAATGCCACAGCACAATGGGATAAATGCAGTAACTTCACTTTATATCCTCCAGCAAAAGGTAACACTTTTCATTAACGGTCTTATTTTGTTACATTCTGTGAGTCGTGAATAACACCACAACAAATCTGAAGCAATCTGAAACTATCATCTAACAAATTTTGTCTTCTATTGCATAATCTTTAGGCATAAAACCCACAAGTCACTACAAGGAATACATGCAACATTATGTTCTGGCAAAAAAAGTACTAAGGAATGTTTATAAAACTCAAGGCTAGCCAGTTTAATAGCTGCATGGACAGACAGACCAGCTATAAGGTGCTCATTATAAACTGTCTCATTAGCTGCATATACTTCAAAACCAAGCTATCAAAGTCTTTTTGGTCATTTAATAGCACCTTATCAGTCTCACAGGCTAAGCTCAGTAAACCGAAACCAGTGAGTTTCGCTATTAGGTAATCTGAGAGCCATCTACACAAATAGCCACAATGAAATTTAATAAAAGTAAAATATTACTTTTGGAGAGTGAAGTTGGGCTCATGTCACTGTGTTTTGCAGGATCCTTCCACAGATGACTCCTCCAGCAACAGTATTGGATCTCCATCTGAACTTGACAACCCACCATGCTACACCACTTCCCCCACATATACTGATCCTATTACTCTTACTGCTGGTTCCCCTGCTCACATCTTCCGTAAGCATACCTGATGGGTCATCGGTTTAAACAGTCCACAGTACAACAAACAGAAGGTTACATGCTCTATATTCTACTGCTCCGAAATGCAAAGTACTCTAGACATCGTGGAGAGTGTCGTAAAATGAAGAAAATGCTGTGAATTAAACACTGTAACTTAAATAACAGTTGTTTTAAAGTTTAGTAGCACAGCCTGGAATGAAATATGAGGACAGTTTGACATTAGAGTCAAAATGTTTCAGTTTTTATGATTTACATTTTTTATTTGGTTTGTTACTCAACACCATTGCAGTTTGTTACATGTCAATTCCAGACAATTCCAGACATATAACTGACTTGTTATCTCTCTGTTATGTCAAATTTTTTGTATACATAAAAATACAGATTACTTTGTGAAATAATGTAAATTAGTATTTTAGTTCTACTAGATTGCTTAATTTATGTGTATACAGTGACAAAACCATGTTGGGGTAGGATAGGGGGCCATGGTATTTGAATTTTATACATACTTTAATAAAAATGTAGAATTATCAGAAATTTGTCTTTGTGGTATTTTGGAAAGACTGACCTGTGCCAGTTGACTTGAACAAGTAGCGTCCTTGTTTGCTTGTCATTTATCATGGATAGATTAGTAGATTTAATTTTTAACAACATTTGCCTCAAGCTGCTTTATATTGCAAGGTAAACCCTCTACAATAATACAGAGAAAACAGGGAAGATCCCATCAGATGACAGTGACACAACTGTCATTGATGTCCACTACCGCTGATCAAAAAGAAGTTTTCATCATAACCATGTTCCCATTTTAGGACATGGGTGTCTAATTTTTACTTACCAGTCTATACTAATCGGTCTTGAAGGACGTAGGCCTTGTTACAGAGGTAAATTTCAAATGTTCAGCATGAGCAGGAGGAGGAAAAATGTGGTACTTTTAACAGTTTTGCTTTCTTTATACATAAAGAAATGGTGTAATTTATGCCATGTTCCTTCATGCCTAAGGCACTGAACATTATCCATATCAACATGAGTATCCTTCTATTTTTCAACTCTTGGGCTGCATTCAGACCCAGGGGAGTAAAGCTAACAATTTTGACTTCTCCATTGTACAGAAATTGATAATAGAGCATAGTACTGTGTTTTTTGTTTTTGTGTTTTTTATGTCACTTACCTTAATACCGGGAGTACAAGGGAGCAAATTTGAAAAATTGATACTAGAGCATAGGACTGTGCTTTTTTTGAATGTCACTTACCTTACTGTTGGTAGATCCAATGCTGTTGGACCATGGGATTGCACCCAACTTTTTCTCTGAAAATTGTCCTAACCTGTCTGGAACATGTCTTATGTTCGCTGTGTGTTACACTGCATGGGCACCTATAGCTACTGACTTAGAACCCTTCACCTTATCAAGTCAAAGGGAGTACAGGAAGCTGTTTTGATATTTCCCATACACCTACAGTGTCCCTCAAATGTATACTTGATTGTAGGACGGTGGGAGTTTAATGTCAGCGACCTTTAATGTAGATCAGTCTTTTTTGACCTAAGGACTTGGCCCTACTTTCTGACTGAAAACTAGAGTAAAGTGGGAGGAAACATGTCTTCTTCCAACACACAGAGAAGTCTTTGCTTTTCCAACTGATCACTGAAAGGAGTACAGCTATACTATGAAATGGAATTACACGCCATTGCAATCAATTTTTTCGTTTTTAGCTGCGTTCAATCAGAACAGACAGAAGGTATTGTAAAATCTCCTCCGAGCCGGAGTTGAACTAGCGACCTAAGGATTCCTGTTCCCATACACCTACAGTCCTCCGCTCTACCAACTGAGCTATCGAAGGGATCACATGTGCAGTGTCTGGTTTGTTGGACCATCGGATACATGGGACCTAACAGAGTCTGTGTTTTGCAAGAATTCCATGTTGCAAGGACTTGAACATAACAAAACTGTATCTGTCTGACTCTACATGTTCCTTCATGCCTGAGGCACTGAACAGATTTCACATCAACATCAGTATCCTTCCTTTTTCCAACTCTTGGGCTGCGTTCAGACGCAGGGGAGTACAGGGAGCAATTTTGAGAAATTGATACTAGAGCATAGGACTGTGTTTTTTTGAATGTCACTTACCTTACTGTTGGTAGATCCAACGCTGTTGGACCATGGGATTGCACCCAACTTTTTCTCTGAAAATTGTCCTAACCTGTCTGGAACATGTCTTATGTTCGCTGTGTGTTACACTGCATGGGCACCTATAGCTACTGACTTAGAACCCTTCACCTTATCAAGTCAAAGGGAGTACAGGAAGCTGTTTTGATATTTCCCATACACCTACAGTGTCCCTCAAATGTATACTTGATTGTAGGACGGTGGGAGTTTAATGTCAGCGACCTTTAATGTAGATCAGTCTTTTTTGACCTAAGGACTTGGCCCTACTTTCTGACTGAAAACTAGAGTAAAGTGGGAGGAAACATGTCTTCTTCCAACACACAGAGAAGTCTTTGCTTTTCCAACTGATCACTCAAAGGAGTACAGCTATACTATGAAATGGTATTACACGCCATTGCAATCAATTTTTTCGTTTTTAGCTGCGTTCAATCAGAACAGACAGAAGGTATTGTAAAATCTCCTCGGAGCCGGAGTTGAACCAGCGACCTAAGGATTCCTGTTCCCATACACCTACAGTCCTCCGCTCTACCAACTGAGCTATCGAAGGGCTCACATGTGCAGTGTCTGGTTTGTTGGACCATCGGATACATGGGACCTAACAGAGTCTGTGTTTTGCAAGAATTCCATGTTGCAAGGACTTGAACATAACAAAACTGTATCTGTCTGACTCTACATGTTCCTTCATGCCTGAGGCACTGAACATATTTCACATCAACATGAGTATCCTTCCTTTTTCCAACTCTTGGGCTGCGTTCAGACGCAGGGGAGTACAGGGAGCAATTTTGAGAAATTGATACTAGAGCATAGGACTGTGTTTTTTTGAATGTCACTTACCTTACTGTTGGTAGATCCAACGCTGTTGGACCATGGGATTGCACCCAACTTTTTCTCTGAAAATTGTCCTAACCTGTCTGGAACATGTCTTATGTTCGCTGTGTGTTACACTGCATGGGCACCTATAGCTACTGACTTAGAACCCTTCACCTTATCAAGTCAAAGGGAGTACAGGAAGCTGTTTTGATATTTCCCATACACCTACAGTGTCCCTCAAATGTATACTTGATTGTAGGACGGTGGGAGTTTAATGTCAGCGACCTTTAATGTAGATCAGTCTTTTTTGACCTAAGGACTTGGCCCTACTTTCTGACTGAAAACTAGAGTAAAGTGGGAGGAAACATGTCTTCTTCCAACACACAGAGAAGTCTTTGCTTTTCCAACTGATCACTGAAAGGAGTACAGCTATACTATGAAATGGAATTACACGCCATTGCAATCAATTTTTTCGTTTTTAGCTGCGTTCAATCAGAACAGACAGAAGGTATTGTAAAATCTCCTCCGAGCCGGAGTTGAACCAGCGACCTAAGGATTCCTGTTCCCATACACCTACAGTCCTCCGCTCTACCAACTGAGCTATCGAAGGGATCACATGTGCAGTGTCTGGTTTGTTGGACCATCGGATACATGGGACCTAACAGAGTCTGTGTTTTGCAAGAATTCCATGTTGCAAGGACTTGAACATAACAAAACTGTATCTGTCTGACTCTACATGTTCCTTCATGCCTGAGGCACTGAACATATTTCACATCAACATCAGTATCCTTCCTTTTTCCAACTCTTGGGCTGCGTTCAGACGCAGGGGAGTACAGGGAGCAATTTTGAGAAATTGATACTAGAGCATAGGACTGTGTTTTTTTGAATGTCACTTACCTTACTGTTGGTAGATCCAACGCTGTTGGACCATGGGATTGCACCCAACTTTTTCTCTGAAATTGTCCTAACCTGTCTGGAACATGTCTTATGTTCGCTGTGTGTTACACTGCATGGGCACCTATAGCTACTGACTTAGAACCCTTCACCTTATCAAGTCAAAGGGAGTACAGGAAGATGTTTTGATATTTCCCATACACCTACAGTGTCCCTCAAATGTATACTTGATTGTAGGACGGTGGGAGTTTAATGTCAGCGACCTTTAATGTAGATCAGTCTTTTTTGACCTAAGGACTTGGCCCTACTTTCTGACTGAAAACTAGAGTAAAGTGGGAGGAAACATGTCTTCTTCCAACACACAGAGAAGTCTTTGCTTTTCCAACTGATCACTCAAAGGAGTACAGCTATACTATGAATTGGAATTACACACCATTGCAATCAATTTTTTCGTTTTTAGCTGCGTTCAATCAGAACAGACAGAAGGTATTGTAAAATCTCCTCCGAGCCGGAGTTGAACCAGCGACCTAAGGATTCCTGTTCCCATACACCTACAGTCCTCCGCTCTACCAACTGAGCTATCGAAGGGATCACATGTGCAGTGTCTGGTTTGTTGGACCATCGGATACATGGGACCTAACAGAGTCTGTGTTTTGCAAGAATTCCATGTTGCAAGGACTTGAACATAACAAAACTGTATCTGTCTGACTCTACATGTTCCTTCATGCCTGAGGCACTGAACATATTTCACATCAACATGAGTATCCTTCCTTTTTCCAACTCTTGGGCTGCGTTCAGACGCAGGGGAGTACAGGGAGCAATTTTGAGAAATTGATACTAGAGCATAGGACTGTGTTTTTTTGAATGTCACTTACCTTACTGTTGGTAGATCCAACGCTGTTGGACCATGGGATTGCACCCAACTTTTTCTCTGAAAATTGTCCTAACCTGTCTGGAACATGTCTTATGTTCGCTGTGTGTTACACTGCATGGGCACCTATAGCTACTGACTTAGAACCCTTCACCTTATCAAGTCAAAGGGAGTACAGGAAGATGTTTTGATATTTCCCATACACCTACAGTGTCCCTCAAATGTATACTTGATTGTAGGACGGTGGGAGTTTAATGTCAGCGACCTTTAATGTAGATCAGTCTTTTTTGACCTAAGGACTTGGCCCTACTTTCTGACTGAAACTAGAGTAAAGTGGGAGGAAACATGTCTTCTTCCAACACACAGAGAAGTCTTTGCTTTTCCAACTGATCACTCAAAGGAGTACAGCTATACTATGAAATGGTATTACACGCCATTGCAATCAATTTTTTCGTTTTTAGCTGCGTTCAATCAGAACAGACAGAAGGTATTGTAAAATCTCCTCCGAGCCGGAGTTGAACCAGCGACCTAAGGATTCCTGTTCCCATACACCTACAGTCCTCCGCTCTACCAACTGAGCTATCGAAGGGATCACATGTGCAGTGTCTGGTTTGTTGGACCATCGGATACATGGGACCTAACAGAGTCTGTGTTTTGCAAGAATTCCATGTTGCAAGGACTTGAACATAACAAAACTGTATCTGTCTGACTCTACATGTTCCTTCATGCCTGAGGCACTGAACATATTTCACATCAACATGAGTATCCTTCCTTTTTCCAACTCTTGGGCTGCGTT